ACCCATATCATGGATCTTGCTTATAAATTGATGGGAATCAATTAATGTATTGATTAACCATCCAAATTAATTTATGGACTACCTAAGGTAATGTATTGTTGGTATTCAATCTAATTCTTGAAGACTTCATTATGAACCTTATTCCCCTAACCCGAGGTTGTGGATTGATGGTGAATTGATTAGTGATGATACAATTGACTTAGTTCTTGTGTTTATTACTATTATATGATGTTATTAAGTACATTGATCGGTAAATATCGTTGGGTTGATGGTAAGACCTTGAAGAAGTCTTTGAAGGTAAATTGGTAAGACCTTGTGATCTTGAATTCTTTACTTCAATTGTGATCGCTAGTATTTGATGATGATGGTTAATTGAAGTATTACATATTATTAGATTACCTAGGTTATCCAATGATTAGTGTAATTGAAATTTCTTTACTTTATGAATTATGAGTTTATCATTAAGGTATGATGATATAAGGTTAACAGTGAATAACATATGTGTCTTACTATGATATGATGATGATGGTGTTAATTGCACAGTTAAAGGGTTGCAGTGAAAGGACATTCTCATGCAATATCTAATTAGCTAAATGATATGATATACAAGGGGGTTAGTCTCTTATTACCTACATTAAGCTATGATTTATTAATAAAGGGTTGAAGACATATAAAATGGAATTTTAGCTTAGAACCAAGTGAACTAGTTATGAGAGGTGTCCCTTCCCATTGTGAGAAGATAGGTTCATAATGTTTCCCATTAGATAGAGATTACAACTTCGTGGTTCATAAAGAGAGTCTCAAGTATGTCTCTTACACCCATAAGAATACTAGCTAGTGGATCCACCTAGAATTCTATGTACATGTTTTGGTCCTACCATGGCAAATAGACCACCCTTTTTAGGTGTAGGGTTTCATGACACCGGATTCCACATTTAGCTCATGTGGCCTATGTATGTTAAGGCAATTGTTCCCAAAAGTAAAATTAAGTAATAAAGTTAACTCTAACTAAGGTGATTTAAGGAGTTTCACATAGTCTATGTATGGGTATGGGACTATACCTATACATTGTTCTTATAAAGTTAATGATATGCATATATTGATGTTACATGTTGATGCTACTATATAATGTTAGTTTAACTTATGAACATGTTATTGTTCTATACGATGATGAATACTCATGATGCTAGGTTAAATCAAACAATGCATTATCTATGATCTCTTTCCTTGTTTACTTGAATATGTGGGGTTATGGGACTTCATATGGGCATTTCACTTGTAGGCTTGGGAAGGGATTTTAAGTAAGTGTCTTGTATGATCGGATGATATGAACTCTTGTACATAATTTGTTGTTGTGACATCATGTTTGAGTTACTTTTGTTATATGATCTTGATATGCTAATGTTCATGTTGATTTTACCTTATGTTGATAGTATCCATATAGCTTTGTCTTTAACGAAGATGTTTTTCTCTTTTTTATATGTTCTTGTCTTGATGAATACGTGATCATTGGCTTGTATGTATTCTTATTTGTGCATTAAGGATTTCAAAAGTGACTTATCATGACTCTGAACAAAATGTCCTTTTAATCATGATTTCAAATGTTTTATTTGCATATATTCATACTTAGTACAAGTGGTTGCACTAACCCATAATTCTCTGTTTCTACAAATATGTAGGTTCCGCCAATTGAGTTCCTCAAAGACCGATTGAGGATGACTTAGACTCTTTTCTCCAAGTGTTGGTAGGTGCTCATGACTGGTTGATATTACCTTTTCTTCATTCTAGCTTAGAAGTTGTATTGTCATAGAGTTATCGTTCATCCCTTTATAATTTGGAACATTGATGTAAAAGACTATAATTGTATATTGACTTTGTAAGGGAATGACTAACATTTATATTCTGTTAGATTGTTTTATGTGAGAAAATATTAGTAGACTATTTCCTATGCATTAGCTTATTTTATCTAACGAGAAGCCTATGTAAGCTTCATATGCGAGTGGTCTAAGTAAACTCTCTAAGTAGTATGTTGGAGGTATATGTAAACCTCAATGTATAAAAGTTTTAATTTTTCCACATTTTTAAACTATCAAATGTAATTACGAATGCTAAGAGTCCAGTCTTGGTCGTCTCAAAGAATGACGATGCCAATTACATCTAAAGGGTGTTTGATATACCGTGGTTTCACGGTATTATTAATACTTTTTCCTTAAGTTTAGTGTGTCCAAAAGCCTTTTTGTGCTAATTTTTATATAAGTTTCTCTTTATTTTGCAAGAAATTTGTCCAAAGATGAATACAAAGATTTTGAGCGAAGAAATGCAGAAGAGACCACCTACGAAGCTTATGACGGTCTGTCATGCTTGTGACGGTCCTTAGGTGGCAGCGTAGTGCAGCTGCTGAAGGAAGATGGAGAAGTCTGAGCAAGTGTGGGGCAACAGAGTTCATTATGGTCCGTCGTGTCTATGACAGTCCGTCCTGCAGGTTCGTCATGAAGTTCAGAGAAGTAGTCCCAGTACCCATATTCCAAGAGTTTAAGTGTTTTGAAACGAAGACCCTCGATGGACCGTTGTACCTATGACAGTCCGTCATACCTGCCGTCGAGGGTAATGAAGAGAGAAGTAGAAGAAATTGCATAAGTATAGGACGACGGAGTCCATGATGGTCCATCGTGACCACGACGATCCGTCGTGAGTTCCGCCGACCTAGACGCGTTTTGACAGATTTCCAGCAAATAGAGTCCTTGTTTAATTAGGTTTTTATTTTCTATAAATAACTCGAAAAACCTCGTTTTTGAGGTTAGACTCTGGATCATTAGTAGACTCTGTGTATTAGTGTTAGATTATTGATTATCATTAGATTTTTTTGTGAGATTATTGATTACTTTGAGTTTCTTGAAAGTGATTATTGGTGATAAATCAAGCAAACTTTCGGATTTTACTCTTTCTCATTGAAGTAAGTACATGAATTCTTATTTAATATATTTGAATATTGTGATTATGACTATGATTAACTAAAATTCATAACTAGGGTTGTGGGAACCATAGGCAAATAATGAGATAAAACCTAACTAAAATAACAATTCTAGAATAGTGACTTGCATGTATTAATAATTCTTTCGCGTAGAATTCTTTTTAATGGATGACAAACGTTAGAACTCGCCTTAATTCTACTTGCGGGACCAAGGAGGTAGATAATAGGAAAATAATTATTAACATAGATTAAGTGTATACTATCTAATAGGCTAGTATTGATTGGTACGAGGTAATAACTTAGTCAAATATCGAATACAATGCTTAATATAAGGTAAAGATAAGGGTTAGGATAGCAACACACGTAGCCGGACCAAGGTGCGGAGTGAGATTTTCTAGATGCCGGACCAAGGATTTAGAAATACATAACTTATCACTTTGCATGCAAGATACTAGTAAATAATTGTTATAGTTAGAATTATCAAGTTATGAACCTGTAGGGAACACGTAAACCCTAGTTACTTTGATTAATTGATTAAAATCCATCATTCAAAGTTGTTAAGTGTCTCTTTCAATTTAGGTAGTTCTTTTCATTCATTTAGAAAGAGAAATGCCCCTTTTATTGTTTTTACTTTCCAAGGAAGCAATTGATTAAACAAAAGTAATAATAGATTGAAGTTAAGTCTAGACTATTTTCCTGGTGGGAACGATCCAACCTCACTAGTTTGGTTATTTACTTGACACGACCACTTTACTTCTTATTTGAGAAGTAAGTTTGAGTGTATCAGTGTTCCCCGGTCATGACAAACTTGGTATCAGAGCGTGAGGTTGAAATAATCTTAGGGTTGATATCTCACTAAAACACGTTTACATAGAGTCTTGTTCATAGGTGTGATGCACGCCACACTTATGAAATAGAAACTATGTGTTTATTAAAAATTTCAGTTATTGGTAATATTAAAAGTCATGCCTTATGGGTTGTAACTCTATGTCTCACTTTTTTCTTCTAATTCATTTCTTATTTATATAGGAGATTAATATTCAAAGGACGGATACAAGGAGAATGGAGGAAGATTTGGCTAATGCCGGAGTTCATCCCTTTAGAGAACAACCTCCCTCAACAAGACCAAGCTCAAGCCATTTCTTCACCTATGTCGGATGGAGAAATAAGGTCGGCATTTTTTACTTTGTCTCCACCCATGACCACCCAAGCTCAAGCCATGATGGCTCAAGCAAATAGGGACGTTTGACCTTGTGTTCAACCAAATGCAAGCACCATGGATTCTGAAAGAGGGTTGAGTTATTTTTACCGAACACCACTCTAGGAAGTCTTGCAAATGTCTGTAACACTCAGCCTACTTTACACTCACGAATCTGACTAAGTATAGAAATACTTAAGCAGCAAAGTTAAACAACAAACAGACTTTACAGGAACTTGTCCCAACATTTATTAATCTTATAATTAATACAAAGGAAGGCTTCAAGAATTAGTCCAAGGCTAAAAACACTCTGTCTAAACCTTAGACGAATTTCCACCCTTAATAAAAATTCTACACATGGCAGTTACATGCGGCAGTTACAAATGACACCTGTCTGACACTTGTCATCACAGGGTTCAAACTATGTTTCCAATAACTATATTTCTAACAGATATAAAGTAATTCACATTACATTCTTATCTACACGAAATACTTATATTCTAACACTCAGAATATTTCAAGCTACATTCCATCACTTGGAATATTTCAGCCAGCTTCCAACACTTAGAGTATTTTAGCTGTCCTCCAACACTTAGTTTTATTTCAGCAATTCGGGTGAACTGCCTTTGTTCTTGCCATTATCAAGTCTTCACAACCTTGCCTTGTCAAGCCAACACGATGCCTTGCCAATGACCTTAGACCGCACGTAAGCCTTGCATGTTCGAGCTGTCTTACCAACACCCAAGCACCTTGAACTTATGTTGCACTGTTTTGCCATCATCCATGTCAAGACTAGTGCCCAAGGCCTTGACATGTCTGCATGTAGTTAGATCAAGTAGTTTGCGGGTCTAAAAGACCACTCGCACCACTTGAACTCGATGTCGTCATCAAGACTATTTGAAGATAGTCCTCGATTTGAGCATCAAACTGCCATAAGTCTTTTCCCTTCTCCCAAAATGCATCAGTTGCACTCTTGCCTTTCCAATGAACCAAGAATTCTATCTTAGTATTCTTCTTACTTGTGCCCAAAACCCGGTGATAAAGGATCTTCTCAATTTTAGCATCATACTGTGTAGGTTCTGATGGAAGAGCCCTCTTTGACATGTTCCTATCCGGATCATCTGCATCTGCAAAGTAAGGTTTCAAGAAACTCACATGGAAAGTGGGATGAATTTTCAACCTTTCTGGAAATTTAACCTATAAGCAACTTCGCCCACTCGTTTAACCACTTCGAATGGATCATCATACTTAGGAATCAAACCCCAATGTCTTGTCTTACTTACAATCTGTTTCCAGATTTGTGGGGTAAGTTTCAGTAACACCTTGTCACCCACATTGAACTCAATAGAGCGACGATGTTGATCAACATACTTCTTCATGCGCCGCTGAGCCTTGTGCAAGATATCATGTGCCTCGGATAATATTTCAAGTCTGTCCCTTGCAACCCTATATGTTGCTGGACACTTTCCCTGATTTTTAGATTTGGCAACATCTAGTGGTGTCATAGGCTGTCTGCCTAAAACGATCTCAAAAGGGTTCATTTATGTTGCTGATGATTTGTGAATATTATAGCAAAACTGCCCAATGTCTAACAATGTTACCCAATTCCGTTGACTTGCTGTCACATAGTGCCTCAAGTATTCTTCCAACAAGTGATTAATTCTTTCCGTCTGTCCATCTGTTTGTGGATGATTTGCAGTAGAATATTTTAATTCAATTCCCATCAGATTGAACAATGTTGTCCAAAATCTACCAGTGAACCTTGTATCTCTATCACTCACAATGTCAGCCGGAACACCAAAATACGTAACCCACACATTTGTAGATCAAATCAGCAGCAACTTCAGATGAACATAGTTCAGGTGCAGCAATAAAAACAGAATATTTTGAATACCTGTCAACTACCACCATGATAGATGCTTTGCCATCTACTTTAGGGAATCAAGAAATGAAATCCATGCTTACTGATAGCCATGGCCTCTCAGGAACAGGCAAAGGTTGCAGCAATCCTACTTCCTTCTTACGTTGAGTCTTGTCAATTTGACAAACATGAAAAGTCTTGAAGTATGACTCTATATCATCTTCAATTTTTGGCCAAAAATAAACACGAGACAGTAAGGCTAACATCCTTTCAACACCGGGATGTCCAGCCCAAGCAAAATAATGCGCCTCTTTCATTAAGTCTTTGCACAACCCGCCCTGATTTTTACAACGATTCTCCCCCCTTTAAACTAGAGCAGATCGTCCTCGATCCAATACTGTCTCATTGTGCCATCTTGCACTTGACCCATCCATTTAACATATAATAAATCATTTGCAGCACACAACCTTATTCTATCATAGAAATAAGTTTCAAGTTTTGAAATTGAATATACTACAACAAACACTTCTTTTCTACTCAGCGCATCAGTAACCTCGTTGTGTTTTCCTGGTATATGTTCCCACATGAAATCATATTCTGCCAGGAATTCTTGCCACCGTGCTTGTTTAGGACTCAATTTTTCTGTGTTTCGAAGAATGTATTTGCTACATTATCAGTTCTTACTACAAATCGAGTACCTAGAATATAAACTCTCCAAACCTGCAAAAAGTGTACCACCGCAACCATTTCTTTTTCATGTTTTGAGTATCTCTATTCAGCATCATTCAATTTTCTACTTTCGAAAGCCACTGGATGACCTTCTTGCACTAATACGCCGCCAATTGCCTTGTATGACGCATCAGTGTGTACTTCAAATGGTAACTCAAAATCAGGCAATTTGAGAATAGGTTCAGATGCAATAGCATTCTTCAAATTCTGAAATGCTTCATCACATCGTTCAGACCAAACCCACTTTGTATCTTTCATTAGCAAATCTGTCAAAGTCGTTGCCCTTTTTGAGTAACCAGCAATGAATTTTCTGTAATAGTTAGCCAAGCCATGAAACGATCTCAAATCCTTCACATGACGAGGTGCCTGCCAATCAACAATGGCTTGAACTTTCTTAGGATCCATTCGAACTTTGTTTTTAGCAACAAGATGCCCCAAGAATTTTATCTCTTGTTGAGCAAATTCACACTTTTCCATCTTGACATAAAGTGTGTATTTTCTAAACTGAGACAGAACCAAACTTAAGTGATTAACAGGTTCCTCCAATGTTCGACTATAAATGACAATATCATCTAGATATACAACAACAAAGTCATCATGATAGTCAAACAGTACTATTCATTAAGTTGCAAAACGTTGTCGGGGCATTAGTCAGCCAAAATGGCATTGCAAGGAATTCGTTTGAACCATATCTAGTAACACATGTTGTTTTTGGTTCATCACCCTCTGCTATCCTAACCTGCAAATAACCCGCCCTGAGATCAAGTTTTGTGAACCAGCATGCCTTACTCAACTTGTCCATCAAATCCTGCACAAACGGAACTGGATACTTGTTTTTTATAGTTGCCTTGTTCAGCGCCCTGTAGTCTACACACATTCGCATCATCCCGTTCTGTTTCTTTTGAAATAAAAAAGAGCACCATATGGGGCCTTAGATGGATGAATCAATCAATCATCCAACAACTCATTCAATTGTTTGCGTAATTCAACCAATTCCTTAGGAGCCATACGATAAGGAACCTGTGCAGGAGCAAACGTACGAGGCAGCAACTCAATTTTATGATCAATATCCCTCCTTTGTGGTAATTTCTTTGGTAATTCAGGCGGCATAACATCAGCATAGTGTTTAAGCAATTCAGCAACACAATCAGGTTTCACTTCAACCAAGGCAGCAAGTATAATGTCATCACCTTTCTTCAGCCCTTTGTCGATTGACATAGCAGACAAGAACATTCCCTTGTCTTTATTCTTTGCAACTTTATTAATGTTCCCAAATGGATGAACTCCTTTGAGAAATCCAGCATTGTTTCCATTCATGACCATCACTCCATCTAAGTGAGGAAACGGAACAAACTGGAATTTTCTAAGAAAATCAATCCCAAGTATGATTTCAAATTCACCAAGCGGCATCACCATAAAATTATGTTTTCCTACCCAACTTCCAGTCGACATAGACACACCATAAGTCATACCCACAATGGCATGTGCCTTAGCATTGACTGTTTTGACGTAGGAAGGGCTTTTAGACAACTTCAGCCCCAATTTTGTAGCAATTCTCACATCTACAAACGTATGAGTTGCCCCTGTATAAACCATTGTCATCACACGTTGTTCTTTCACTTCATTTCTATATGAATTAGGAAAGCATGAGGATTTGAAGTACTAGACATTTTCCAACATTATTAATCCCTATAATATGGTTGAAGTACAATCCCAATGGGTTTGTCATTGCAACCACGATTTCCTCATCTTCCTCCCTTTGATTCATAATTCCAGCACGCAAAGCATTTACTCTTTCCCGGTTTGGAAAAGACTTGGCCAAATGAGGACCACCACAAGTCCAACAGCCCTTATAGTTACCATCTTTGTTCTTTGTTTGTCTTTTTCATCCCTCATTTGTGCCTTTCCTTTGTCATTTGTACCATCCTTGCGACTATCCTTTTTCCATTCCCCTTTCTTATCATTCTTTTTCTTAGTTTTTGAAGTGGAGGGAACATCTGTCAAAGGACAAATTTTCCGGAAATCAACCAACAAATCTGCAGCACCAATTGCACCAGGCAAATCTTTAACATTCTGCCTCCTGAGTTTGTTTTGAGCCCAGCCTTGCATACCCGAAATGAAGTCGTGTAATTTATCCTAATCAGACATATTTTGTATGTTTGAAATCATATAGGTAAATTCTTTAATGTATTCCCTCACCGAACCCGTCTGCCTTAGCCTTTTTAATTTATCCCTTGCAAGCCAAGATGCGTTGCTAGGAAGAAATTGATCACGCATTTCTTTTATTAACTTATCCCATATATCAATTCTAGGACGACCAGCACTTACATCATCTGCATTTTAAGTCCTCCACCAAAGTTTAGCATCACCCGTCAAGTACATTGTGGTAATGTTTAACTTGTTAGCGTCAGGCACCCTTGCAGCAGTAAAATATTGCGCCACTAAAGGCCTTAGGTTCTTGAATTTTAACCTTAGATGATTCAACACAATTTGAACTCAATGTAGTCACAGCCCAACACAATACAACGAGCTCTGCACGAAGGTTCTCATTTTCTTTCTGCAGTCCCTCAGCTTGTTGCGTAGTTGTGGTATGAAAATCTAAGATTTCAGTGATATGATTATCAACATTCTATCGATATACACCAATATCCCCCTGAACTTTCTTAGCGTCAAGTCTAAAATCAATGACTTGTGTAAACAAATCCACAAACGTAGAGTCTCCCAAAATAACATCTATAAACCCAACAAATGCTTCGATTTTTTGTGCCAGTTACCACAGTTCTGCGTTTTTCACCATCGTTAAATCGTGCTCTGATACCAATTGAAAGAGGGTCTATTTATTTTTATCGAACACCACTCTAGGCAGTCTTACAAATGTCTGTAACACTCAGCCTACTTTAAACAAAAGATTCTGACTAAGTATAGAAATACTTAAGCAGCAAAGTTAAACAACATACAGACTTTACAAGAACTTGTCCCAACTTTTATTAATCTTACAATTAATACAAAGGAAGGTTTCACGAATTATTCTAAGGCTAAAAACACTCTTTCTAATCCTTAAACGAATTTCCACCCTTAATAAATATTCTGCACATGGCAGTTACATGCGGTAGTTACAAATGACACATCTCCGACACTTGTCATCACAGTGTTCAAACTAAGTTTGCAAAAGCTATATTTCTAACAAATAGAATCTAATTCAAATTACATTCTTATCTACATGAAATCCTAATATTCTAACACTAGGAATATTTCAGTCTACATTCAACACTAAGAATATTTTAGCCAGCTTCGAACACTTAGAATATTTTAGCTGTCCTCCAACACTTAGTTTTATTTCAGCGATTCGGGTGAACTGACTTTGTTCTTGGCATTGTCAAGTCTTTTTGTCAAGCCAACACGCTGCCTTGCCAATGACCTTAGCCCGCACGTAAGCCTTGCATGTTCAAGCTTCCTTGCAAACACCCAAACACCTTAAACTTGTATTGCACTGTTTTGCCATCATCCATGTCAAGACCAGGGCCCAAGTCCTTGACATGTCTGCATGTAGTTAGATCAAGTAGTTTGCAGGTCTAACAGATTCCTACTTTAGGGACTTCAATAGAATAAATACTCCTATGTTCTATGGGTCAAAATTGAATGAAGATTCCCAAGACTTCATTAATGAGGTCTACAAGGTTCTGTATGTTATGGTGTTGGCTTCAAATGAAAAAGATAAAATAGCTTCCGACCAACTCAAGGATGTATCTCAAACATGGTACATCATATGGAGAGACAATTGGACCTTGAGAGGGAATGTTGTCACTTGTGAGGTGTTTAGAAGGTCTTCCCTTGATTGTTTTTTTCTTAGGAACAAAAGGGAGGATATAGTGGAGGAATTCATCAACTTTCATCGAGTTGGTATGAGTGTGCAACAGTACTCCATTTCAACAATTGTCCAAGTATGCTCCT